AAATTGCAACAACTGATAGGTCGAAACTGGCTTATCATTTCTGGGTGGTCCACTTTGGGGATCATGACAATATGTGTGTCATTGACATCGCACTGGTCTCAAAAAACTCCTTCACCTCTCTACACACCGTTTCCCCAATAATATCCCAAAATCTTCGATAGAATCTACCCGAGAAACCATCCGGCCCAGGAGCCTTTTTTGCTCCTAATGAGAATACAGCTTTCCTAATTTCCTCATTTGAAACTGGGGCACACAAAGCACTGTTCATCTCCTCAGTAACCTTATCTGGGAATCCATCAAGCAAATGGTTAAAGGGAATCTGGTCTCTCGCTCTAAAAAGGTCTTTGTGGAAATTCTGGGCTAACCCTTTCAGCCTATCTTCTTCCTCGACCCATTCGCCTCTTTCATCCTTTAGTCTAAGAATTCTATTCTTATGCTTTCTATGTATCGTGCTGGAGTGAAAAAAGGAGTTATTCTGGTCTCCTTTCTGCAACCATTTAACTCTAGATCATTGAAACCAGAAAGCCTCCTCATCCTTCCACATCTTAGACAGTTCCTCAATGAGACTTTTTTCTTCCTCCACCATTTCCTGTGTTCTTGGAGGCCGTTGGAGAGTATCAAGTCGATCCAGTATGTCCTTCTCCCTTTGTAGGCTGTTCCTGTGGAAGTCTTTTGACCATTCCTTCAGATCCTGTTCGCATTTGGCCAGCTGATTGGACGTTTGACCTCCTGGATCCCAAGCTCTGACCACTATCTCCTTGCATTCTTCCTTCTCCAGCCATCTTTCATCAACTCTAAAGGGTGTCTTCCTTCTCCTATTCCCTCTATAACAGAGCTCCAGCCTAATTGGGCAATGATTCGAATCGACCATCTTTTCATGAAAAACAGTTGCATCCCCAAATAGAACCCGCCAAGAAGTCGAGCACAACACTCGATCAAGTCGGACTCTCGTGGTATTATCACCGGTTCGCTTATTGGTCCAAGTAAAGGGTTCTCCTTTAAACCCAAGGTCAATAAGAGCATTGTCGAAAATAAACCTTTTAAAAGGTTCAACATTCTCGTACCTAAGAGGGCATCTCCCCTCCTTCTCACTTTCATAGATAGCAACATTGAAATCTCCTACAATAACCCAGTTATCCTCCCTACTACTCCGAAGAGAGCTTAGATGCTCCCAAAATTCCCTTCTACATACAGCGGTAGAGGGTGCATGGACAAAAGTACAGAAGAACTTCCTGCCCATATCGATACTACAATCCATATAATAGCTATCACTACTTAAAACATTAATGCTAATACCCGCTTTCCACCATAGCGCAAAGCCCCTTGAAGAGTTGACCGGTTCCACATACTCTTTGTTGGGGAAAATTCTGAGACTTCTTCTTTGCTCCTCCATGAATGCTTCATTTTTGCTCGTTTCCATGAGGAAAACAATCGAAGGGCCTAAACGTCTACATAGACGTTTTGCATAACTCCTTGTAAGGGTTTGGCCAAAACCCCTACAATTCCAGCTTACCATACTCATTCTTGACGAGGTGGCTTCTGGCGAACCACCGCTGCCTTTTTCTTCTTCCCTCGGCCCTCCTTCTCGCTTTCCGATTGATTCCCTTTGTCGATATTCTGGCTCATGGGCTTATACTTCAGATTCTTTCTTTTGTGGATTTCCCCCGGCCCACCCATCTCAAAACCCCCTTCTGGCCCAGCAAACACAGCTCCTCCCTCCCTTAAATCGGCGCTGGGCCTGCTGCCACCCGGCCCACCCATCTCAAAGTCTTGTTCTGGCCCATCCCACCTAGTTCCCCCTCCCTTAAGTCAGCGCTGGGCCTGTTGCAACCCCCTAGGCCCATACCCTTCCTTTTCTTTTGCATCCGGCCCACCTCCCCTTCCCTTTCTCCTTGAACATGCTGGTACTCCTCAATTGCATATGGGCCTTCTTGGCCCGCACTGAGAATTGGGGTAGTTGTCTGGGTTGGTCCCAGAGACAGCCCGGTCTCCACCTCCGAAACCCGCCCCATCTCCCGATAACTCCTCCCTTCTTCCAGTCGGAGTCCCGCTTCCATCGCCGCCGCCGCCCTATCCATCTCCCTGCTCAAATTCGTCGCCCCCATCTCCTCCCTGTACCTCCCCCTCCATCTCCCCTGTGCGATTTGTTCTTCCTCTCCCTGAACTTCCTCCTCAATCCTTCTCACGGTAAAGCCTGGAGGGATTTGAAGATTTCCTTCGTAAAGTCTGCCTTCCGAGCCCGACGATGTTCCTCCCTCTGCCCCCTCCGATCTGCTCTGGCTTCCCGACCTTGCGCTTCCTCTTCCTCCCAGATAGCTTCTTGAGCCTTCCCCCTCCCTGCTGCTTCTGTTGTTGGCCGAATGGTGTCTATGAGGGGAATCGATTCCCGCCTTGAGAGAGGAGTTGTACACCTCCGACAGGTGAGCCACTCCATTCCTCTTCCTTTCTTCATTCATCCTCCAGCAAGTCGGCCAGTTGTGGCCTACTCTTCCACAAAAATAGCATAGTTCTACCAACCTCTCGTACTTGAAATCGATCACATCGCAGTAATCCTTCCCCGTGACTTCGTCAGTGAATGGGAAGTCAAAACCGGTCGGAATTGGTTCTTCGATGTTTACCTCAACCAGAATCCTCAGAAACTTCCTGTATCCTGTAAATTCCAAGCTCGCTCTGTCCAGGTCGAGCATCCCTGAGAAGTAATGAGTGCCAATCGCCACCATGTTCTCCTCGCTCCTCTGGTTTTGGTGAATACCATGAAGCTGCACCCACATGGCAACCTTCTCTATGGGAGTTTCTTCAGGTTTGCCTCTTCCGCTGTATTTTTCGATAGCCGTTAGCGTATTAGAAAGGCTCCATGGTCGGTCCCTCCATATCTTCTCCCTAATAGCCTCATTGTTGAAGGTGAAGATGAATAGGTTCTGGGTCTCCGTTGGTTGAACATTGACCTCGCCATATCCTCCCCAAGCGTAGCGTGCTGCCCCTGCTGCCTTGGCCAGAGCAACTCTGTTCTCGGTGAGCATCTTCCCCAGCATCATTGAGATGCCTCTGCCACCATTGGATGAAAGGGTTGGTGGTGCGCCTCTGTTTCTTGGGGATGGCTCGGTGTTTCCAGTGGCTTTGCTCCTGCTGATTTCCATTGTGTTAGTGGGGGGGTTAATTTTGGCTTCTGCTTTTTTGGTTTTTGCAGGGGAGCCCCGGAATGGAGCTGCTGGGTTTTTGGAGTTGTTTTCAGGGGTGTTGTTTTCAGGGGGAACCAGTAGGTTTATAACTTGGTATTAAGCTTTTGTTTTGGGATTTCTGTTGTTGACAGGTGCACTCCTCCTTCCCCTCTCGCCCTCTTTAAATCCTTCTTCTTGAGTGTAGAGTTTCCTCTCGCCAAGTTGGTGGTGGTTGTGTATCTTGTCAAAGCTTTCATTATCCCTCTGTTGACATATTCTTCCCCTGTTCTGCTTTTCCATCACTGTCTCGGCTGCACCTTGCTCTGTTCCGGCTTCACTTGGCTCAAGGTGCTCTTTTCTCATCCATTTATTGCTTGTGTGAGATCCTGGGTAGTATCTCTTAGCCCCTCTGTTCCTTCGTACTCCTCTACTTGTCACCCTTCTCTGACATTTGAAGACTGTTAATGGTCTGTCTGGTGGTTTCCATATCCCATCTTCCTTTCTTTCTTTTGCAGCTCTTCCCCTGGCTTGTCCCATCTCCATGAAGGCCTCTCCTGTTGGTGATATGCTCCGCCATCTTCCCTCTTTCTTTTCCGCCAGATCCCTGCAATCTTTGCTGGGTGGTTGGGGGCAGTAAATGGCGCTCACAGATCGGCCTGGAGAAGTCCCAACGACGGGGACGGAAAAAGAGCCGTTATTCGGTTCAGAGGAAAAGGCCGTTAGAGAGAGAGATGAGAGAGACATTATTTCGGCTTTTTGTGCTTATATTCCAGCATGTGGATGTTGCAGTATTCGTCACTAATCGAACTATATCCCACAAGGATCTTCTCCGCATGGTTTCCCTCTTCCCAGCTAGCCTAGGCATGTCAAATGGGTCTTAGGGTATGAGTTTTACCCAAACCCAATTGAATTTGGGTCAAATCAGGTTTTGGGTTTTTCTGTTTTGGAGCAGACCCATACCCATCCAATTAAATTGGGTCCAAGATAGGCCCAGAAAATTAATTAAAAAAAAAAAATTTCCACAGAACCCAAACGGGTCTTTCATCTTCGACCTAATGGCTAATAGAGCGACTGCTTCTCCACCATCGTATCCCGCCGCCGCCCGCCTGCATCCGATTCTCGATCAGTGACCATCAGCCCCGAAGACGACGCCGCCCTGCAATCCCGATTCTCGATCAGCGACCATCAGCCCCGACGTCGGCAGCTTCTCCTTTTCCCCACCATTGGACCCCGAGGTTGTGGAAGAAACCCACCTCTCGCTCTTCTCCAGGTTTGCCCCATCTTCTTCTCTTCTAGATCTTGCCCCCTTTCTGTTTGCTCGGTTCTTCTTTTCCCCTGTATCTCGCGCTCTAACATTTCGTATATTGGTTCTGGGTTTGCGTCGGTTCAGTCGGAGAGAGGAAGCTTCGCGGCGAGAGGAAGCTTCGCGGCACAATCTGGGTCGGTGTCGGCACAATCTGGGCTTCCTTCCTCCAGCTGAGTAGAGCCAAAGAAGCTCTCCACTGTCCCGCCGACTTCGATTCTGGGTCGGTGTAGGTCACAGTGCTACAGGTACGCCGGGGAAAAAAGTTGTGTGCTTTGGTGCTTGGTGTCTTGCTTCTGTGTCTGTAATGTTTTTAGCTGTTTGTGTTGAGCTCTGAAGTTCTTTAAGAGTTTCTACTTGAGTTCGGCCTGTTCTTCGTGGGTCGGTTAGCAGTTGGAATGTATTCATTCAAGTGTCTGTCCGGTTGCAGCTTGAGATTGTTGATTTATCTGTTTGCTTGAATCTGTAGTGACATGCTTGGCTGGACACCTTGGCTTTAGAACATGTATATCGATGCCAATCAAAAGAGCTCACATTTAAAAAAAATTCATTCATGCTGCAATGTAAGATAGTATTTTGCCTCCTGATTACCAATGTTATTTTGCCTCCTGATTACAAAATTGCTTTGTTGGCATCTCATTTTCAGAATGAATCTCCAAAACAAAGTTCCACAAGTCAAGATTTGCTTTCAGACCCTGCTCTTGATTCACAATTGGATTCTCTGAGGGAAAGGCTTGCTGAGGTGAGAATTAAAGGTAGCAATTTTCAACATTCATTGGATGTTATTTGATTTATATTCCTGTCTACCAGTTGCTTGCTACTTCCTCATAAAAAAACTCATTTATAGGTGTCACGACAGTCTATTGAGCTTAATAGGGAGCTTCAAGACTTGGAACGAAAATCTACTGCAACTAATCGGTGTAACGAACTTCTTGCTGAGGTGTTTCAGTCGTATGATAAAAACTCTGCTGATAGTCTGTTTCAAGGTAACTCTCTACTTTTGGTATGATATATCTTTTCAAACTGGACGACTTGCATACTTAGCTCCATTGGATGTTTCCATACAAATTTCACATGCCAATCTTATGTGCATGCATGAGTACTTTAAAGGCTGAATTCACATACTATTTCGAGCATTTTAGATGAAGAAGAAAGTGCATCTCAGTTAATTATGTACCAACGAGTGATCTTCCATAATAATGATCTGAGAAACCATTCATCAAATGTTTAGAAATGCATCCCTTTATTCATATCTTTGATGTGTCTTGTGGTAATATTGGTATGTTATGTTATTCAGGTTAAGTGAAAATGGCTTCAGAAATAGATGAAACTATTGAATTATCTGAGGTTCCTGAAAATTCCCATACAGATTCTGGTGAAAGCAATAGTGAAGCTCCTACAGTAGTTTCTAATGGCAGTAAACAATTGAGGTCTCATGTATGGAAATACTTTAAGAAAGTATTATTTAGAGGAGAGTTAAAGGCTCAATGTCAACATTGCAAGAAAATGCTTTCAGCTGTGATGGAACTACTCATTTAGACAAGCACTTGCGAAGATGCCATAAGATTAAGCACTTGTATAACTTGTTGAAAAAGAAGTTAGGTGCTAGTAGAAGTTCCAGTCCATATATCTTTGACCAAGAGAATAGTAGAAGGGATCTTGCCAACATGATTATCTTGCATGGGTTTCCACTTGCTGTTGTTAATTATGTTGGTGTAAGAAAGTTTGTAAGCTCTCTTCAAACCTGCATTCAAAATGATTTCAAGAAACACAGTTAGAAGTAACATCTTGAAGATCTATAAGGAAGGGAGGACTCATGTTATGATGGAATTGGAGAGAAACAGTAGTAGAGTAGCCATTACAACAGACATGTGGACCTCAAACAACAATAAACGTGGGTTTATGGTTGTTACTGCACATTATATTGATGATTCATGGAGTCTTCAGAATCGAATTTTGAGATTTTGTTATGTTCCCTCTCCTCATACAAAAGATGTGCTTTGTGAAGTACTTTTTGAGTGTATGACTGCATGGAACATCGATAGCAAGCTATCGGCTATCACTCTAGATAACTGTAGTACTAATGATGCAATGGTTAGATCTCTTCTAAGAGAGAAGCTACAAGCGAGTTCACTTCTCTTGGGTGGTTCTCTTTTTCATATGAGATGTGCAGCACATATTATAAACTTAATAGTTCATGAGGGATTATCTATGATCGAGACTTGTATTGAGAAAGTGCGTGATAGTGTTGTCTATTGGACTGCTTCGCCAAAAAGACGACAAAATTTCACTCTTTTGGCGAGTCAAAGACACATTGAATCAAAAGAATTAGCTCTTGATTGTAGGACTCGTTGGAATTCTACTTATGTGATGCTTTCTACTGCCTTGGATTACAAAGAGGTTTTTCCTCGGTTGAGACTACGAGATTCAGGTTATACTACTGTGCCAAGTGAAGATGAGTGGATTATGGCAGAAAAGATTTGTGAGAAGTTAAAGTTGTTTTACAACATCACAGAAGTGTTTTCAGGTTCTACCTATCCAACTGCCAATATTTTTTTCCCCAAGGTTTGTGAGATAAAGGTTTCTTTGAATCAATGGGTGTTATCTCCTGATACATATATTGCAAATATGGCATCACGAATGTTGGAGAAGTTTGATGATTATTGGGATATCATTCATGGAATGATGGCAGTTGCTGCAGTTCTAGATCCTAGATACAAGATGAAAATTTTGGTATGGGCGTTTGAACCAATTTATGGTGTTTTGGCTGAACACCATCTGAAGAGGATTAAAGATATTGTTTATGATTTGCTTAATCAGTACAAGAGTTCAGAACCTAATGAGGAGTTTGCAAGTGGTACAACTATGTTTTCTGGGTCGAGTCAACAAGTGGATGATGATTTTCTTGCTGGATTTGATAGGTTTGTAAGCGGTGATCATAGAGTTTCAAATGTGAAAGTAGAATTTGACACTTATTTGAGGGATGGGGTGATACCAAGAAGTGATGAGTTTGATATATTAGCTTGGTGGAAGAATCAAGGGCTCAAGTATCCAACTTTGAGGTTGATAGCAAGAGATATTCTAGCCATCCCCGTGACGACAGTTGTTTCGGAATCTGCTTTTAGCACATGTGGTAGATTGTTGAGTCTGCATCGTAGTCGACTTGACGCTAATGCTATCGAGGCGTTGATGTGTTCTCAAAATTGGTTACTAAATGAGGTCAAAGGTATATGATTTATGTTTTTATCAAAGGTATAACATTGTATATCATTGATTACTAATTGGTTTCAATTTTGACATAGGTGTGTCCAAAGTTACTCATGATTTGAATCATGCAACTATAGACGATGAGAACGCGGAAGATGCAGATTTTGATGAAGATGGGGAGGAGCATGACAATTGAAGCGGAGCCAAGAGGTGAGTTTCCAGCTGACTTTTGCCTACTTGTCCTTTTGAGAATATGTATCTGCATATATATAAGTTCTTTCTATCAAATTCTTCCATACATTGGCGTTTCAGTTCTTTTTTGGGGGGATTTGTTTACTGTGTGAAGATAGACTTCAGTGAAGAGGCAGTAGGAGTTCAGATCGATGCTCCTGGTACTTTGTATAGTGAGAAGGAATATTGTTCTGGGTCATATGAATTTGACATGGTTGGTCTCGTTTCTTTCATCTGTGAGCTGCTCTAATGAATAATAGTTCCACTACCGTGGTAGAAACAATGGCCCAATCAATTCTGCTCGTTGTAGTTATGTTCTGGCACCTTCATTTCTGCCCATTTTTCGGTAATTAGTAATTATTTATGGTCTCATGACATGCTGTAATTTTGCATGGCAGAGAAGGCTGCTTGCTTGCTTCCTACGACACAGATGCGATTATGAGTTGAAAGAGTTGGAGGACAAGTACCAGACATTGAGATGTTTTTTACTTTTTTTCCCCTTCTGAACGTGAACATGAACCATGAGTTGTATTTTCTGTTTTCTACCATTGAGGATGTTTATGGGAGACTAAGACTTAGAAATATTATTTGGGTCTGTTTTCTAATATGCAGGAATTTCAACTTACCAAAATCTAACTTATACCCAAATGGACCCATTTGGGTCGGCCCAAATATACAGGCCCATTCTGGACCCAATTTAAACCCAACCCAACCCAAAAGAGTAAAAACAAAAATTGGATCCATTTGGGTCCAAACCCAATGCCCATATGGGTCAAAGTATTTGGGTCAAAAGACCCAATAGGCCTACCCATTGACAAGCCAGCAGCTCAACCGTATACAATTTTAACTTGGAGAAACCCTACTCAACCGGAGCGTTGATATCCCTAAACCCAACATACTATCTTTGGGTCCGGAACTCCGAATGCGTATCATTTCTATGTGACCCAACCAACCAATGTAGTCAAAATCGCGTTTTAAATTTTAAAAACTTACGCTTGTATGTTTTTAGGTCATTAAAAAGCTTCTACGCAAAATCTTAGTTTTTATAACTAATGTAGTTAAAAACTCATTCTAAAATTTAAGAACTTACAATTTTACGCTTCTAAAAATGTTTTTTTTTTAATACTCATGAATCTCAGCCCCATGTGCCACTTTGTAACAGCAGGGCCTATTAAATTTGGGGGCCACCTGCATTCAATTCGACGCCAATGACACTTCGCCCCCAACAGGCCTCGCTTGGAGTCGAACTTGGGATTTGCAACTCCCAAGCCTTCATTGTCGCAGCAGCTTTACCGTTAGGCTATCTTACCTTTGGTCGGTCCAAATTAGTCTTGAATGCAAATATCAGGACAAACTAAAGTATTAACTCATTTTCGAAACAACAATACTGAGGGCCCGTTTGCTTGTTAGATATGCAAATGAAGGTTTTTAATTTTGAAAATCTTTAAAGGTAAAATACACTTCCATAGCCATAATTATTCGCGTTATGACAATAATAGCCACATTTTGAAAAATACACAGATATAGCCACGTTTTTATAACTTGCTTGAATGATTTAGCCATCTCCGTTAAATAGTTTAACGGCAGCAAGTGTTCCATCAATTTAGTGGATGATGTGCTTACATGGTCGCCACCTGGGCAACACCTATTGTCCACCTAGACTCACTATTACTGCCAAGTCATATTTTCAATTAAAAAATCAACATATCCACAAATAAATTTTATTTTAATTTTTTTTTTTTTTGAAACTTAATTTTATTTTAATTAAGATAAGTAAAAAGTGATAATTTTTTAATAATCTCCCTGTTCACACTTGCCCATGACCCTTCCCCTTCCTCCACTCTTTTTCTCCCCACCTGCCGCTTCAATCCAAGAGGGAGAAGCTTTGGCCATTGAAGTTTTCGGGACCATATTCGTCTTCTTCTTCTTCTTCCTCTCTACACAACAATTTCCCCCGAAAAGCCTACCAGATCCCCCCACAGCCACTCGACCTTCCCTTCTCTCACGGTTATTGGCCAAACCACAGCCACAATCCTAGATCGTGAAGTTGAAGAACCCTAATCGTCGGCGGGACCAATTACTGCCATTGTCGATGGGTCGAGCCTGTGTTTCTCTCCACCATTGTTGAATCTGTGAAGTTTCCGACACTTCATCCGACAAACAAACCAGCATGAGAAGACTGGATCTGGCGGCAGCGAAGCACTGCTTCGTCGTTCTCCAGCTCTGCCCTGTGTCGGCTACAACTAGAAACAAAGCCCTGTGGGGGAGACGCCATTGATATTCACCAAAGAAGAATCCAATTCCTATGTACTCGCCGTAGTTTCGGCATACGCAGATCTAGTTGCCTTCGAGGTCTTGAGGGGGAGTCCCGAAGCCGACAATTTCTTTCCCGGCAACCGCGTCGGATTTCTTCGTAGTAGGAGCAACAGGGTTTTTTCGTTTTCATCAACGGGTTCTGGCTTCGTAATCGAATCTCTGTTCCGATTATTGTTGTTTCCTCAATTCATTTGCACTGGCCAAGTTCAATTTGAGGGTAGATCA